CCACTATAAGGAAAGAAAAATATTGAGGGCCCTACTATTTAAAAGAATAGCGAGGAAAGCATAATGTCTCTAATAAATCCCTTGCTGCTTCCCCCTCAAAGGTTTTATCATTTCACAAAGCGAGTTTTTGTATAAATTTACTCAAGTATTTTAAGGGGAGCATGGTATGCAAATTATTTGATTAAGATGGTTAATCGTTAAAAAATTGACAGGAAAACGTTTTGTTCTTTGCGGTTACGCCTAACGCATGATTGTCTGTATTTCTTCAACACTTAATTCAAAATTAATTAGCAGTAAGGAAAGAAGCGATTTATTTAAATTTTCGTTTAACGCTGCTGTGCTTTCTTTATGTATTGGCCCACTAGCTACAAGGTGTTTTAACGAAAATTTATGATCCTTAATTCATCGTTAATAGGTTGTTGATAGGGCTTTGTTCAGTTTAACTGATTATTTATTCCCCTTGCGTGACCAATAGAAGAGTTCGCAGAAGTAAAGCAATTAGATCGTCCGCTGGAGGTGTTTTCAAACACCATTTTCGACTGATTTAATGAAACTTCATGTTAAGTGAATTATTTACCATTTAAATGAAACGTATTGATGACTCTTCTACTGAAACTATAAAACAGCGGGAACCCCTATGGAGAAACAGCTCATTTTATAGGAAAAAAATTGGAATTCTTTGGTTTGCGTGTTGCATGGTTCTCAGCCCCGGTTAATGTAATACCTGTTTTGTATACGAAATTAACAGACACGTTAAATTTAGGTGCAGTCCTAGTGAATAGTATGGATACCTAAATGCACGAACTGTTGGTCTCGCCCTGTTAAATGGTCAATCACCTAGGGCGTGTATTTTAGAGTTGCAGATTCATTTTCTTAATATTACAAAGCAAGTAACGAATAAATAGAAACTAATTAAGTACGGGTTTAAGGGGGCTTTGCCAAAAGTTCCAAATTGTACTACAACGGAAGTAATCGAGCTTTAAGCTATCAAACTGCCGTTCCCTCTATTGATTCAGGCATGATGTAGGCGATTTTTCGCAAAAGTCGGATTATTTTTTGCTCGCACTTTGCAATTGAAGAGCTAAACAAATCTTTGATATTGCGTTGATTGAAATAAGAAATTTATTACAGGAACTTAATGTGTTTTGATGAGTTATTTGCTCTTTTCGGACCATCAATAGAGTTGAAACTGGTGAAAAAAATAATGTCTTTCTAACCTTTTCGAAGCACGAGTGAAAAAACTCACTAGTTTCGGTTCAGATTGTAGTTAGTTAATTAGCAATTATCATCGCGCTTAAGATTTAATGTAATCTAAAAGTTGTGGTCACTACGAGTCCTTTACCATACGGTGAAACTTAATCGTATTAAAACCGGATCTATAACAAGCCAAGTGTGATGATAATACACCCGATTATGTCAGTATTAACTTGTTTAACCACCATTATCTATTCCGTGGAGAATAGCAGCTTATAATGGCTTTAGGGGCGACGGAATTTTTGTTCCTAAAATGTTCTCATTATTACTGCTATCAACGACATTGGGTTTGTTGGGATTATGATTTAGTTGATAGGTAAGCTAAGATCATACATATAAGCAAAGACTAATCCTGCAAAAATCATATTTCAGTAGGCATGGGTAACTCAGTTAATTTTCAAAAAACCCACCCTACTAGTCAGTTGATGAATATGGGACTAAAAGCTCTACATGTACCACAACCAGGGGCAAAGTAATGCTAAACTTACCGAAAGATGCTTAGTGCAACCTGGAAAGCAAGAAGAAAATTTGTTTAGTACAGTAGGAAATCTGTTCAAAGCAAAATTTATTTAAAATCAGCAAAGCAAAGAGGGAGAAATATAAACAATTCATACAACTTCAGTTGCTTGTCGAAAAAGCAAACTCAGTTCAAGCTAAAAGATTTATAGATGATTTTTACCAGCTTTCCGCAAGCTGGGGCCCCATCCTCCATGTGGTACCCATTAATCCGCAAGTGCCAAAAACTGCTTTTTGTGCATAACTTTAGAACCGTTGATGATTTTTTTAAAAGTTTAGTACTTTTTTTCAAGTATTGAAAATACCGACAGTCTGAGATACACTAGTTTAGAATCCGTTAATTTTTTTACAAAAAAAACGAAAAAACCGCCGATTTCAGCGTTACTTTAAATTTACTATAATTAATTTAGTTTTGCTGCAAAAAAATCGTACTACAACTTTTTGAAGGTCTTTGTACACTTGATAAGTGGTATAAATCTTTGCTTAAAATATTGATAACTTTTTGTTCATTCTTAATTATTATTAAAAAAAGGCTCTTGCCAGATTCTAAATAATTTTTTTAAACGTCCGAGCGTCTTCTCTGAGAGACCCTCAATGAAGAAAAAGTTATGAATACTTTAAGCTAAAATTTATACCGCTTATACAGTATACAAAGACCAGGTTACAAGGTTTAACAACTTGAAAATCTTACGGATCCTTCCAAGGGGGGGTAGAGGGTTGAAAAATTGTCCGAATTACCTTAAGTAATTTAGGCACGGCCCTTTATGCCTTAAACATATTGAAAATACCCGCATGTATTCCGTTAACTCGGTATTATGCTAGAGGAACCCTTAAGGTAGCTCAACTAAATTTTGAAGCTTAATGAAAGCTAAACAGTTTCCTGTTGTCTTACCAAACAGTTTCTGAGTCCATTTCAATTTACTCGTGAAAGGGAAACTGATAGCAATCGTCACGCAACGGGAACGATGATATAATAGAGACGGCAAATACTGAAATTGCTTTCAATGTTTTACCAACATAATATCTAGAACTGGTTGATAAAAGTCAATAAGTTTATACGCAATTTAACGGCCAAATCTGTGGTAAACGGGATAATGACTCCCGTTCATATTTGATAAACACAATAAAAACGTCAAAAGTGTTGCTCTGCGTTTCTATTTATTGCCGGGCCATTCAATACTACGGAAAACCAGTCGCAATCGTTTTTAATGGATTCGTAGTTTTTGTCGCAAAATAAGTAAAATAAAACTGAAAATTGCTTTCCGCAAAGTTTATCAAAATTCAATATAGGATCGTGATTGCACTCGAAAGCAAAAGTTGCTGCGATTCTATTTATTACTTCAGTTCTATTTATGCAAACAAAATTGCAAACGTGCATGTTTCATGCCCTTTCATCAACTTGAAGCTGGTTGATGAACTGGGCACACACAACTCTAATATGGCAAACCTAAATTTTCCGCTTTCAATAATTGGATCTCACCTAATGAACACAGGCATGTGACCGGCACAAATTTCCCAAATAATATTACATTTCAGTGCGCCCAATTCCGCTTAAACCTCCATAATCTGATTTCAGGGAAAGTAATTCACAAGGAAAAAACCAAAATGTACGTTGTTTGAAAGCATCACAGCCTGCCGCAATCATTTTACCGCCAGCAAACGAATTTCTGTTTTTAGCAAGGTGATTGAAATTTGCTCAGAAAAATCTATTCTAGAGTTATTTTTTACATTCGGTGTTTTCCCTTTCATTTTTTCGTCATAGATTATATACAAGTTCAGCGCGTTTCGGCTTTATGCAATTACATGAAAATTTTAATAAATATTTCCTGCTGAATAACCCGACGACTTGAAGCCGGCAAGCCTATTTCTTTGACCAAAAACACAATTTCTCATTTATCCGGAATCTAGGAAATCAGCCAACAAAAACAGTATATTAAGCGAAGGAAAAATGAAAGCTTCGACTTGGATGTAATAAAAGAAAAGTTGTATTGATCTGCGAAAGGCGAAATTTATGAGACATTTGATTGATAGACTATGTTTCTCTGCAGCGAGATGTTGACATGGTTTAAGTGAACCTGTAGCTGATTCACATACCCAAAGAAAAATATGGGTTTGCTTTTATCGTTGCTTAATCCACTCACATAATTTCGTATCGTCATATTCACGATTTGCGTATTTGCGGCAGTTTTTTTATACTTACAAAAAATAAATTATATGCCACCCACAAACAGTTCTGTATGGAACCCAAGATAATTTCATCATTGATCAATCTTTCAGATCTAAAAGTAGATTTCATAGGCCGCTGGAAGTCCGGAGATCACATCAAATTTATCGTAACTGGGTTAGCATCATTAGGAAAGTTTTGGCTCGGAAATTGCTGAATAATCAATTATTCTTCTGTAGATGCAACTTATAAAACGGTTAATGACATTTTACAGTTTGGATAATGTTCAAGAATTTATTTAAAGAAACTAAGCAAATCTCAATCGCAGGCCGAGCACAGTGAATGAAAGTCGGAGTTAAACATTTACACTGAAAAGATTCAATTGCTCTCATAATCTGGCTGATTTCATTGAAATTGGATGGCTTATTCATTGCATCGCCTTTGAACGAAACAAAATGGAAATGAAACGTAATTTGCAATCAAAGTTTCTATGAATTTTTTATCAATCAGAAATTCGTCTTAAATCCCCTAAATGTTTTATTTCAGGAAACCCCAAATCCAATTTTTGCCACTCGGGCATATGCAATAACTCGTAAGTAGTTAATTGGAAGCGAACCATCCGCCGAATGTTTCAAGGGTGTTGTTGGAAAAAAAACGATCTAAATTTTCCACATCCCAACTGCGTGACTGGCATTGTATGTCCTTCACCATGAAATTAGCTGGAAATTGTTAATTAAAATTCTAGCACTTAATGGGCGATTGATTACGTTTTGAGCAGATCTAGAACAATTCTATTGAAATGCATATTTTGGCTTAAACACAAAGAAAAAATTTTCAATCCAAACTTAAAACAATTGCGCCGTTTTTGAAGGCGCTGAAATAAAAAAATAAAATCCTTCTTGCCATGATGATTGGGCGTAATTGGACATTCCACGTACTGGCTAATTTACCAATTGTACTTAATATTTAAATGTGAGATTATCTCGGCACCAGCAAGTCTACAATTTATATGTTTTTCAGTGTAGATTTGCTAGACATGATATACTTATTGAATAATAGTGAAATGGCACGCAGATCCCAAGGAAATAATACATAATTGACCCAGAAAAATTACATATATTTAGCATCCAATCTAGAACTTCCTCTGGGCATATTTTAAAATTTTGTTTGCTTTTGCTTTGCACTTTCCAAGATAATGCCAACGAGTATCAACTCATTTGAAAGATTTACTTTGTTAATTCCTTAGTTTTGTTCACACATTGAAACATGTTGTATGATGAGACTGGGCTTTGTGGCAGATTATTTTAAGGTATGTGCATATATTTTTTTCACGCGGAAAATTTGCTGCATTTCAAAAGTGGTTTATCAGTGTGTCTAATGATAAGGTGGTTTACAATTCAGTGAAAACTGGAGAGAATTTCTTAAGTAGTCCGTCAAATACACAGCAACTTTCTTTGAAATACGCTAAAAACGCAAAAAATTGTGGTTGTTAACAGTGCGATTATTGTCATATATCACCACTGCTGGATTAACTTCAAAGTGGGGTAAATTCACATCAATTCTAATAATAGGTAATAAATAGTTTGCAGTTTCTCTGGCTAACAGGGGTAGATCGTATCGATGGTTACTGACCATTTCTAATATAAAGCCAGTTAATCTTCATCATTTATCAAGTAAGCAATCCCCAACAAATACATCTTCCTCTGGTGCGAACGAGAAACAGAGAGGCAAGCTAACGAACTTTGCTTGATTAATCTGATGGCTTAACTAAGTATATAAGTAGGATTTGAACACTGATGTATAATAAAGAAGTCGTTAATTAATAAATTAATTTGTCGCCAACTAGAAACCAACTAAGAAACAAAATTTCATCTAAACCTCAACTTCATGTTAGTCGCAAAAAATAATTACAAAAACCCTAAATAGCGTCAATTTCAATAATATTTGAACTAAAATTTTGATATTTCCACATGTGACGTTTTAGCATAATTACATAATTTAATGCTTAATTTGTTATACTGGCCTGCTCAACCTAAACAAATTTATAATTAATTATCGTAATTAATAAGGCCGTGTTATTAATGTATGCGGCTATCCTATCAGCCTTAATTATAAAGCTACTTTGTTATTATGAATGATTTCATATCAATTTTCTGCTCAGAAATTATCTGATAAGCTCAACACATGTCCATCAATCCAATAACCAATTAAACTTTAACAACTAAACAGCCAACGGGCTTGAAACCTGTGCTAATTTTAATTAATAATCCCTAACGGCATCATGAGTCCAGTAAGTAACAGCAATCAAGCATTTGCAACTCATCAATTAGTATAAATCATTTTAGAGCCCTTTGCACGCACTATAATTTTTTCGGAAAAAAACGCAAATGGCTCAATTTTGAGGCATTTGCCTCCAAATAATACATCATTATTATCGCAAAAAATCGTGACTCCTTAAAATGGGTCAATATTTTCGATCATTTCGGATCTGTAAGGTCTAGTAGATATGCTTTTCATTGAGCTCGCTTCTTGCTCAATGAAAAAGTTAATTTTTGACCGAAAAAATCGAAATCTGGATGAGAAGCTGCCGCTGCCTCCCGATCAGTTGAGGTCAAACACAAGTGATGCACAAAACACAAATGATGCAGGACTGTCCTGGCAAGAAACCATGAGCAATGAAAAACATGCTTGAAATACGAAATATTTGAAAGACCCTATACAGGGTGTCCCCTAAGCACATGATCAAAAGGGTACTGCGATATTCTTTGAATCAAAAGAAGACGATCTGACCTAACTTTTATGAATAAAAAACGTCTGGCTCATCTGCTATTGATGGTCAAAGTTCTTCAAACAATTTATACTTTTTTGAAATATCGGGAGAATGGTACGATGTATTTTGGTGAAAGTCGCTGTGAATTTGTTCTTATGTAAGACTCATATTTTGATGAAAAAATCTAGTTCAGCCGTTTTGGACAAGTGGTGAATTTTTGAGTGTCGTGGTACAAAGACTACCAGAACTTTTTATTTGGTGGATGGAATCAATTTATTTGGTTGATGCACTAATCATTTATTCACAATTTTGTGCTCTTTGTAAAATCTTGTAGCATTCATAGTTTTTGTGCAAAAAAATATGTTTGTTTTCTTTCCACTTAACAATGTTAGACATTAAGTCAAAGACAAATTTGATTGACAATTAATTTATGCCTCGTATCATGATATTTGCAGTTAATGTTTAACATAATTAAGTGAAAAGAAAACAGAAATATTTTTGTCGCTAAAGCTATGAATGTTACAAGATTTTACAAAGAGCACAAAATTGTGAATAAATGATTAGTGCATCAACAAAAAACAAATTAGTTTCATTTCATCCACCAAATAAAAAGTTCTGGTAGTTTTTGTACCACGACACTCAAGAATTCCCCCTTGGCCAAAACGGCTGAACTGGATTGTTTCATCAAAATATCAGTCAAACAAATTCACAGCAAGTTTTATCAAAATACGTCGTACAGATACTCCCGATATTTCAAAGAAGATAAATTTTTTGAAGAACTTTGACCATCAATAGCAGATGAGCCAGATATTTTTTGTTAATAAAAGTTAGGTCAGATCGTCTTCTTTTGATGCAAAGAATATCTCAGAATCCTTTTGATCATGTGCTTACGGGTCACCCTGTATATGAAGCCAAATTCAATATTAATTTGCTTACTGTCAGTAATGCCGATATTTAAAATCTCTACATGGAACCAAAACGTTGGACAATTTATTGATATTCCTTTGATAGATTTATACATTCTTTTCAGGGTTTACCAATAAATTAATGGCCTGTTGGCTGTTTGAAACTGGCAAATAATTTGCGGTTAAAATATGTGCAGTCGGCTATTGAATGAGACCGTAAAATTCGATGAAAATACTGTCCAAATGGGCAATCAACTAAGCAAATTTGTCTGGAATATTGACATTAATATTGGCCCTATCGTCGAACCAGTACTATTATTTTTTTGCCATCAACAACGCTCATTATTGTTTCAGATACAATGCCGGATACAGAAGTAAAAGGCATTGATGATATGCTGGCTTATGTAGGAGATTTTTCCAGATACCAGTTAATATTGATATGTTTGTTTAGCGTTATAAATGTTTTATCAGCTTTCCACTATTTCGGGCAAACGTTCACTAGCTTAGTACCGGAATATTTGTGCAATACAACCCAATACAACCAAACGAATGTCATTGCTTTGGAGTGTTCGATAAAACTTTGGGAAAATGACACTGTATATGTGGAGGAACGGTGCACCACTGGGTGGACTTACAATAACTCAAATACCCACGGGTATACAAGTCTTACACAGGAGGTGAGATAAAAATCCCAAAAAATTCCTAGTCTAGAAATATGGTGGGGCAACCGATAGCTCCTCCTCTAGTCCTGCTTCGGATCAAAACCCCATTTGAAATTGAAATTTTCTAGTTAAACTGGGTGTGCTCTGATGACTGGAAACCCGTCTTGGGACAGTCAGTGTTTTTCCTTGGATCAGTCATTGGGGGAATTGTGCTTGGAGTACTGGCCGACAATGTGGGAAGATTACATGTTCTGGTCATTGCCAATATGCTGGCGTTTTGTGGAAACGCCGCCACCACCCTATCTAGTAATGCTACCACTTTCGCCCTCAGTCGCTTCCTAGCTGGTTGTGCTACAGATACTAACTTTGTCATGATGTATATAATTGGTAAGTTGCGAAAGAGGCCAATAAGTAGTTGCAATCACGCTCTTTTTAGTGATGGAATATTTAAGACCCAGCATGATTACTTTCGGACTGAACATCTGCATTGGGGTGTTTTACTCTATATCCTGCATGTCTGTCCCCTGGGTCGCGGTCTGGGTGGGAAATTGGAAAACTTTACTCATTATAGTGTCTGGAGCGCATCTCACAGTTCTCCTCTTCTACCTGATAGTCCCAGAGAGCGCCCAGTGGCTGATCAGCAAAGGCCGGACGGAAGAAGCCATTGTATGTTTCCAACGTATTGCACGAATAAATGGAAGAACAATCAAACCCAAAGCCATTGAGTCATTGCGACAGTACTCGCTTGAGAATATTAACTGCAAGCACCAACAGGAGAACTTTTTCGGGCTACTGAAAACACCCAATCTTAGGAGAAAGACCATTATTTTAATTTACAAATCGTAAGTCACGAAATTTGGGCATTTAACTCAAGAATTAAACGCAGACGTAAAAACTTCCAGAATGGTTCTCACGCTATGTTATGATGCGATTTCAAAAAACATCAACAGCACTGGCATGTCGCCTTTTATAGTCTTCACCATCAGCTCAGCTACAATATTACCAGCGTGCCTTTTTATACTTGCAGTGCAAGATAAAGTAGGGAGAAAAGCCCTGGCCAGTGGGTCTCTAGTGGTAAGCGGATTCCTATCAGTGTGTGCAGGCATTTATCTCGCATTTGTGGAAAATCCGGAACCTGGTGGGCTTTTGGTTCTAGCCATTATTGCCAGGCTAGGAATAAATATCGCTTACAACTCAGGCCATCAATACGCGGTTGAACTTTTGCCAACAGTAGTTAGAGGGCAAGCGGTAGCCGTGGTGCATGTTGTTGGATTTGGGGCTACTTTCTTCAGCACGCAAATCCTGTACTTAGCTGAGTTTTGGAGACCCTCCCCAGAAATTATTTTAGGTTGTAGTACAACTGGCTGAAAGATTTTTGGATCTACAAGGATATTTTCCAGGATTGTTGATGATCTCAGGGGCGGTCGCTTGCCTGTTTCTCCCAGAGACCCTCAACCAAGTGCTCCCAGTTACGTTGCAGGATGGGGAAGCGTTTGGGGAGCATGAGAAAACTTGGCAGTTTGCGTTGTGCGGAGGAGGAAACAGCGAAAGCACGACTATTTTACATCGAAATGCAAATGATCATTGAAACATCCAAATGTAGTTTTTCTATGATATAGTTTACATGCAAATCAAATTTATTCCTGAGTTTCAGTCTTTTATTGTCTCGATTTATTAATCAAAATACGTTTCGGTGTATTTTTCCACCATCATCAGTTTTTATGTGTAGCGTTGTTGCTGCTTTAAGCCTTGGCATGCATTTTC